GAACCTGTCAATCAACAAAATGTTGGGAATAACCCGAACGCTGGTGGTCAACCCGACCTTGTGATTCCAACTTTTCTGGCTAATGTGTTACAACAGATAGCAAACGCACCAATGTTTCAACCACCTCCACCACCACCACCTCGTGTGGTAACCTACAAAACACTAAGGGATAATGGTGCGGAGATATTCTTTGGGGATCACATCGCCGAACCCCAAATTGCATGGGATTGGATCGAGCAGACGGCTCGGGTGTTGGAAAATCTTAACATACCCATTGACAATTATCCCAGACTGGCTTCTCAATTGCTTCGAAAGGAAGCCTACGAGTGGTGGAAGAGGACTGATGAGAGTGCAGGAACTCCTAAGCCATGGACATGGGCACATTTCGAATGGGCATTCAAGCAAGAATATATTCCAAAACGTTTTAGTGAAGAAAGACGTACGGAATTTGTCGAACTGCAATAGGGAGACATGAAACTCCCTGAATATCGTCAGAAGTTCACCAAACTTGCAAACTTTGCGCCAACCTTGGTGAGTACCCCAACCGATCGCATTGAGGAGTTCAGGAAGAAACTTCGACCTGACCTCAGGTCACGTGTGTCCGTCCTTACCACCGTGGATTTTGCAAAGGCCTACGAGATCATAGCTAGGGCAGATAGTGACCTGAGTGCTTGCATAGAGTATTTAAAGGCAAACAATGCTGGCTCAAGCACTCACCGTCCCACTAGCTCTGCCTCAAAAGGAAAAAGGCCCTTCCAAGAATCTAGCAGTTCACACTTCTCAAAGAAAGGGAAATCGGCACAGAAGCACTCCGTGGCGTCGGAAAGCAAATCAAAAGGGTGGAAACACCCATTGTGTGATACGTGTGGGAGACATCATCCAGGCGAGTGTTGGTTTGCCCAAGGGTTATGTCTAGGTTGCGGTAAATCAGGACATTTTCGAAAGGATTGCCCCACTAATCCTGGCAAACCATTTTCAACGGCCCTAGTTGTTAGCCAATCAGCCTCAGCACGACCTGCGCCAAGTCAGCGATCGACGGCGGGATCTAATCAGGCCAAGAACCAGGGTCAACAACAAGGACGAGCTCCTGCTCGTACTTATGCAATGAAGGCTCGAGCTGAGGAAAACCCTGACGTCATTCAGGGTATGTTTTCCTTATTCGATACTATCATGCATGTGTTGATAGATCCTGGATCAACATTATCTTATATCTGCGTGCCTATGCCTGAAAAAGCTGACATAATGAAAGAACAATTAAAACAACCTATACTGGTGTCAAACCCGTTAGGGCATAGTATGAGGTTAGATCATGTATATCAAGATTGTCCGGTGATTGTTGAAGGACAACGATTCTCTGCCAACCTTGTTGAATTACCGTATAAGGAATTTGACATCATTCTCGGAATGGATTGGCTCACTGAGCACCAAGCAGTTATCGATTGCCGACAACGAACGATTCAACTAGAATCTAGAGAGGGAAAATCCATAAAGGTGAAAGAGGAGCTAACACCTAGATCTACTGAATTGATCTCATACATACACGCCAGACGTCTCATTCGAAAGAGATGTGAAGCTTATCTGTGTAACGTACGTGACACACAAAAGGAAACTCCTGAGTTGAAAGACATACTGACAGTATGTGGTTTTCCTGACGTATTTCTTGAAGAACTTCCTAGTATACCATCTTCCAGAAAAGTGGAATTTTCCATCGATCTTGTTCTTGGAACAGGACCGATATCTGCAACTCCTTATCGTATAGCCCCTGCTGAAATGAAGGAGTTGAAGGCTCAACTGCAAGAACTTCTCGATAAAGGATTCATACGACCGAGTGTTTCCCCTTGGGGAGCACCCGTTCTGTTTGTCAGAAAGAAGGACGGCTCAATGAGACTCTGCATCGATTACCGTCAATTAAACAAAGTCACAATAAAAAATCGATATCCTTTACCTCGTATCGATGACTTATTTGATCAGCTTAGAGGATCTACTGTATTCTCTAAGATTGACTTACGGTCAGGATACCATCAAATCCCTGTCAAGAAAGAGGACATTCCAAAGACTGCGTTCCGTTATGGTCATTACGAGTTCACAGTAATGCCCTTTGGTTTGACCAATGCTCCTGCAGTATTCATGGATCTCATGAATAGTGTATTCCGGCCCTATCTTGATCAATTCGTAGTCGTGTTCATCGACGACATTCTTGTATATTCAAAACATCAAGAAGACCATGCAAAGCACCTGGTGATAGTACTCAGTGTACTACGAGAACACAAACTGTATGCAAAGTTATCCAAGTGTGAATTTTGGCTTGATGAAGTCACATTCCTTGGTCATGTGATTTCGAAGGAAGGTGTTAAAGTGGACCCTAGCAAAATATCTGCCATCATCGAGTGGAAGGTTCCAAGGAATGTTCGTGAAGTGAGAAGTTTTCTAGGATTAGCTGGATACTATCGATGATTCGTTAAAGGTTTTTCCTCGATCGCAACTCCACTTAACAAACTTTTGAGAAAAGATGTGAAATTTGTATGGACTGACGCATGTCAGCAAAGCTTTGAAAAACTAAAGAAATGTCTGACAGAAGCACCTGTACTGACACAACCAGTACCAGGTATAGACTACACAATCTTTAGTGACGCATCTCATAATGGCTTGGGATGTGTACTCATGCAAGACGGAAAAGTCGTGGCATACGCGTCAAGGCAGTTAAAGCCTCATGAATGTAATTATCCTACTCACGATCTTGAGCTAGCA